ATGGACTTCATGTGGCCTGTGAGTTGCATCTTGGGCATTTTAAGGTTCTGGGCTAATATCCAATAATCAGTGAGTGAATACCATGTGTGTTCTTTTGTGATTGGCTTACCTCACTCAGTATGATAATTTCTAGTTCCATCCATTTACCTAGGAACCTCTCAAAGTCATTGTTTTTAATAGCTGAGTAATACTCCATTGTGTAAATATACCACATTTTTTTAATCCATTCCTCAGTTGAAGGACATCTGGGTTCTTTCCAGCTCCTGGCTATTATAAATAAGGCTGCTATGAACATAGTTGAGCATATGTCCTTATTATATGTTCGAGCACCTTCTGGGTATATGCCTAGGAGTGGTATAGCTGGATCCTCAGGTATTTCTTTAAGTGCTCCTCAGCCATTAGGGATTCCTCTGTTGAGAATTCTGTTTAGCTCTGTACTCCATTTTTACCTGGACTATTTGGTTTTTTGCAGTCTAAAATCTTAAATTCTGTGAATTTTTTTATATTATCCCTCTGTTGTATGTAGGTTTAGTGAAGTTCTTTTCCCAATTTGTAGGCTTCTGTTTTGTCCTATTGACAGTGTTCTTTGCCTTACAGAAGCTTTTCAGTTTCATGAGGTCCCATTTATCAATTGTTGATCTTAGAGCCTGAGCCATATGTATACTGTTCAACAAATTGTCTCTGTGCTTTTCAGGTACTGAAATCCATAGTAAAAAAAACAAACTCAAATAATAGCTTTAATAACAGCCATCAAAGTTCGATTTTATAAAAATATCAACATTTTTCATTATGAACCAGCTATAGCGGCTCACTGCCATAATTCCAATAATAATGAGACTGATGTAGAAAAGTTACCATGGAAACAGTATCAGGGAAGACTCCAGAATGAGATCCAGGTCATCTTGTAATACAATAAACACCCTCTTCCAGCTCTTTGCCCCTGAGAAAAGACAAAAATGATTGAAGGAATGATTGAAAGAATTCAAATTATTTTAGGAAGTCAGTGTTTTACTTTTAATGTATTAGAGGATCAAATGCATTCCACAGGTCCATGTTTTTTAATAAACTTAAACCTCTACTACTATATCTTATTATTTTAAGAGTTTCTAGAAATTTTATCTTAAATGCATAAGATCAATAATCTTGTGTAATTGTTAATTGGCAAATAAAAACTTTACAGTTGAAAAAAAGATATGTGTACTTGTGATAGACCAGCATAAGTTACCTGAACAATAAATGATTTGTTATCTACTTTTTATGTTTTACTTCCATACAAATTTTGCCTAAATGCTAGCATGTTAACTTGGAAAAATACTCTTCAGTGGTAGATTGCTTTTCATATATCCAGGAAATTGTCCTTTGACTAATCTAAGTTAATTTTGCTGCAGGTTCAGATATCAATATAAGTGCAGAATCTTCATTTTATGCATGTAGTATGTAAGTTTTAACTTTTCGTCATTGAAAATTAAAACTACGGCCCTAGTTTTCTTTTGAACCTACTTGTCTTTCCTTGTTGATTCTGCCTTTCTCCTGGTGGCATTTTCTGTCTTAGTATTTTGGCACATATTAGGATTTTTAATATTATAGCATTTAATTGATGGTGGATTTTTTTCCTTAGGTATTTACTGTGAACCACAAAATAGTAATGTTCTAGTTAGGGTGACTGTGGAACACTTCACAGAGTTTTAAGAATGAGAGGATAACTCCGTATGACCTGCAGCATGCCGTGTCCTGATGTTGCATTCTCTCATCAGCATCAACTATGAACAGATAACGAAAAGTACATCTTCATACCTAACTCTGAGCACAATATGCACTGTATGGTGAAGTGTAAATTTCAGATTTCTTTGGAGATTCAGTTATATCATGTGATGTTTGACTGGAAGATGTCTTAGAGGATGTTTTGCTGTACCAGAGATTTGAGAGGATGTTTTGGTGAAGCAGAAAAGTGAGAGGGTTTTTTTTTTACTAAGGCAGACACGTGATAGGATGTTTTCCTGAGAAGACACTTTCCTCAGACACTTGGGAGGACACATGAAATGTGTAAAGAGCATAATACAACAGACAATAAATGACAATCTTACATTTGTTTGCCTAGCAAAGTTTTGTTGGTCTTCTTTGATCTTCACTTGTCGTGACTTCATAGAGAGAAAAACACCAAAAAACTTCTCTTGGAATTCCACCTGCTTCCTGCCGCTTCCATGGACTCATGCCAGCTCAGCAGAGCTTTGTGGTTTCTCCAGAATTGAGACACTGCTAGTGACTCATGTTTGGTGTTTGCCAATTGGACTGGACAGCTTCTACTGATTTGTGTTTGATGTTTTGGAATGGACTGCTGATCATTCTAACAACACAGACTGGAATGGCTCCACAGAACTACTTCTAAACAGGACCACATCCCCTGTTCCTACTAACCATCTTTCTCCCCTAACTTTGGTCAGTGGGCTAGTGTGGGGCTGCAAAGGGATGGTTTGGTCTCCCTGGTAGAGCACTGGGTTTGAGATAGCTGGAGACCCAACAGGGACACGGCCTGTCAGGGACCGCACATATCTCCCCATGCTCCTGGATTCCAGACTTCTCCCACATGTGGCCTACATCTCCATTAACCTGTGCCTTGCAAACACGTTTGGCTCCAAGTAGCTCCTTCCAGAGAGGTTTTGTGTCACCATCCAGGCAGAGGGCATGACTAACAGAGATTTCCATATTTATGAGTTACCTAAGGGGGGGAGAGATGGGGGGACGTAGCTAATTAAGTTATTTCCCCCCTCAGTTCCTCCTCTTTCCCCCTCCCTATTTAAACTAACTCCTCCTGGCTTTTTACGGGGGGGCTTGCACATCCAACTACCATGCCATGAACAATAAACTTCTTAAGCCCAAGGACTCCACGTGTCTTCTGAAGCCTGCCGCCACCAAGCTTCCGACCTCTGGAACCTTAGACCTTTCTCGCCTGTATGTGGGACCTGTCGGCGTGGAAGCCTCCAGGACTCCGCTGCCCACATCCCCCACCCCCGCGGGTTGCCGCCACACAGGCCCGGGGTTGCCTCCGCACGTGATTTTTCCCACAGGCTGGAAAGGAGATTGAAGTGTTTAACAAACCTTATTAAAGTAGGTTTTGAAAAAATCTAAGCCTATAATATGGTGTCAATTTTTCTCTTAGCTACATAGTGATTATTCATACATACATACATACATACCCTTTTGTATGTGTATATGTATGTGCATATGTATGTACATGTACACATATATGTATATGATGTATAAACCTAATTTTGATGAACAATGAAGAAATTAGGTAATTCTATGGTGCTTGGTTCCAGCCTGTCAATACTAGACTGAGCATTGCTTCCCAACATGAGCAACTGGCTTCTTTCTATAATCTCTGATAATCTAAGAAAATTCATCATTTAAAGTAGACATTTCACAGAGAATCTAACGCATTTTCTGATGAACAGCTAAGGGGTAAGTAAAGTGTTTCCAAACTTTATAATAGAAACTGCTTCTGGGATCCTCATTTATCAAACAAATATAGGGGTCGATTATTTTAAAATCTTCATCCTAATCTTTAAGATTAGGGCTTTATGAGGGCTTTTTTCGGTTGGATGTTATAAACTGTAGGAGACCTTCATGATTCGCCATTACAAGATGGCGCCGGCTGGTCAGGCCATTTGAGTAAACAAGCCTGTTGCGCATGTGCTGGCTGCCTGGGCCACACCACTTTTCTTATGCTAATGAAGCATTGCCTTGTGCTCCAATCACATACTTACACGCTGACTGTTAGAATGTATAAGCCACTCTCCTTACTCGCTCAGGGTCCTTTGCAAGAGCTATAGCTGAAATAAAGATCTGCAGAAGAATCCTGTTGTTGCCGTGTCTTCCTTGCTGGCGAGGTGGGCGCGCGCGACAATAAGCATCAATTGGATGATATTTTTGCTATGCATCTGCTGCTTCTCTCCATCTGCTATTTATGCACAATGGAAACCACAAGCGTGGCAGTGGGACATCATTTTCTTTTCTGTACAAGGCACAAAAGGTTGTTTAAGGAATAGTGTTTTCTGTGGGTTTTGCTCTGGGAACAAACAAAGCTTCGTAAGTTACACAATGTGTACACAGGTAATATTTTATAACATTATGCTAGGCAAGGAGATTGGGATTAACTTTTTGCTTCAAATAAATTTGTTACTATCACTGAGTCTAACGGACTGAAGACAAGAAAGAAAGTGAAAAAGGCAACAGTAAGTAAGAAAAAGAAATATGTTGTTTTTAAAAACTATATAAATGGAAACAGTTTTATTTTAAAAAATATAAAATGGCAAGATGGCTGTTGTGTAACAAGGAAAGGCTTCCAGTAGAGAGATTAGAACACCAACCTAGCCACAATGTCTTCAACCTAAAATTTGTCCTGCCTACAAGATGTGCTTGGGTAAAGGTGACACAGAACTTGTGGAAATAGCAAACCAAATAACTAGTCCAGGCTGAGACCCATGCCATGAGAGAGAGCCCATCCCTGACACTTCCTGGGGGCATTGGAACTAGAGGCTGAATATCCCAGAGAATAAAAATAGAACCAAACACAACCAGAAAAAATGTTAATGAAATAATTTTTACTGATAGTTTCCTATACTCATAATCTGGAGCCTAGCATAGCCATTATCAAAGAGGCTACATCCAGTAACTGACAGAAGCAGATGCAAAGTTCCACAGGCAAACATTTAGCAGAGGTCAAGGAATCCTTAGGAAGAGGGAGAAGAAGGATTGTAGAGGAGAGAGGAGTCAATAACACCAAAGGAAAACACACAGAATCAACAACCCATGCCTCATAGAATGTCACAGAGACTGAACTGACAATCAGGTTTCCTGCAAAGGACTGGTTGTGCAGCTTAGTCTCTTGTGGGACTCCTAACAATGATAACGGGGCTGTCTCTAACTCTTGTCTGGTTTGGAGACCATTTTCCTTCTACTAGGTTGCGTCATCCATCCTTAACATAAAGGGAGGTGCCTAATCTTATTGAAACTTGACATGCAATGTTTAGTTGTGGGTCTTCTTGTTTTTAAGCAGAAAATGAGGAGTGGATCTGAGAAAGAGTGGGCATTGTGGGGTGGAACCAGGAGGAAAAGATGGAGAGGAAACTTTGGTCAGAGTGTAATATATGGGAGAAGGATTTAAAAGGGTTAAGAGGGCTGGGTGTGGCTCTAGAATTGGAAAGAAATCAAGCAAACCTTACCAAGTTGTTAAAATCTGATTGCATTGTGAAAGGAATGAAAATGTTAAGATAAAATTATGACATCTGTGATCTTTAAATTTGTAAGATCAAAGGTCAATACACTAAAAACAATGTAGTTCTATCAAAGTATTGATCTGCCCTTGGCAATTTCAAGAAGTAGCATGAAAGAACACAATATTTGTCTGATCATGGTTTATTTAAACCTGTTTGTCTCACCACAGTTAAAAATACCAGAGTTGGCTATAGAGATGACTCAGCAGTTAGAACCTCTGCTTTGGGGCTGGAGAGAAGGCTCAATGGATAAAAGCACTGCTCCTCCAGAGGACCTCGGTTCAATTTCCAGCACCCACATGGCAGCTCACTGTAACTCCAGTTCCAGGGGATCTAACACCCCATACAATATACTTGCTGAAAAAAACACCAATGCATAAAAAATAAAAACAAATACATCATTTCAAATAAGGAATTGAAAGAAAATCTACATTTCTCTTTCCAGATAGGCACTCGAAGCTCAGAACCTCAGGCAACTTCAGTTCCAGGGGATCCAATGCCATTCTCTGACCTCTGAGGGTAACAAACATTGTCTTTACATTCATGGAAATATTCATACAAGAACTCATAGATTTTTTAATAACGGAAGGTCTGTATATGATCAATCAGTGTAAGATAACAATGAACAAGGGAAGGATGAAGGATGACTTGATATTACTTGAGGAGAGAGAGAGAGAGAGTCGCTTTTCTTTCTGTTATGAGTGACAATCTGCCCATGATCTTGTGCCTGACCTGGAACCCAAAGCCTATGGGGGAGCACTCATGGAGTAAAAGGGTAATTTTTCAAAAGGAGACATGAAGTTAGAAACAGAGACTGAGGGAACAGACACAGGATCTGAACACGTCTACGTTAGGCCCTCTATGTTTGTATTATTTTTTCCAGTTTAGTGTTTTGAGGATTTGTGAACGTGCAAACAAGTGGGTCTCTCATTGTAACCCCTTGTCTTGAACCCTTTTCTTTTGTTTGTCAGTCTTGTCAAACTTTGATGTGTTACTTTTTGTTTTATCTTACTATATTTTGTTTGATTATTTTTATTGATTTTATTAATATTTATCATTTTATTATTATCTGTTAGAAGCCTGTTTATTTCCTAATGAGAGACAGAAAGGGAATAGATCTGGAAGGGAAGGAAAATGTTTAGGAACTGAGAGGAAAGAGGGGAGAAGAAACTGTAATCAGGATGTGAGAGAAAAAATCTATTTTTAATAAAAAATAAAAGGATCACATGAAGCACAATGTGAGATATATTGGAGAAAGTAGAGAAAAGGTAGAAAATGAGTTGTGAGTTTATCATTTATATTTATTGTCTACATGTGTAAGTTTTCTAAGAGTAGAAAAGAATGCATGTATATTACTTCTCAAATTTGTGAGGTAGAACCTTGCTGTGCAGCAGTGCTGGAATCATAACACTTACTAAGAAGGGGCAGGCTTCAAACGTGATGACCTTTCACCATACCTTTCACATGCTAGGATTACAGGCATATAGTTTTGTCTGATTTTCTATACTTCTTAATATTATTAACTTGGTGAATTTCATTCAGTATTGGGGTAATACTCAGCTCACTCATCAAACTCTTTGCATATCTACTCTCTCAGTCCTACATGCCCAATTCCAATTGCCTTCTTTTTCCATCAAATCTATTCCTCTTTAGAGTACGGCCTTCTCCACAATGTGGATAACCTTCCAGGGATCAACTCATTTAAAAACTGAATCTCTTTATCATAAATTGTCATTTACAATAGCGCCCCAATGAGTAGTGGAATTTGTACCCTCCTTCATCCCTCCATGCAGGAATATTGTTAATGTCTTAGCTCATTTCACCTGCTGAAAAAACACCATGAATAAAACAACCAAGGAAGAAATGGTTTACTTGGTTAGTAGGCTCCATCAATCTTTGGGGGACACCAAGGCATGAAGTCAAGACAGGAACCTGAACTCAGCAACTAAAGCAGGAAGAGAAGCTTGGCTTACTGCCTTGTTCCCCATAACTTGCTCTGCCTATTTTCTTATGCACAACACACCACCTTTCCAGGGTGAGCAATTCCCCCATTGACATAGGAGCCACCATATCAACTATTATGGAGAAAATGGTCTACAGACTTGACAGGTAAATTTCTGAAAACATTTTACCAATTGAGATTAGTCTTTCAAAAAACTCTATCTACTATCCTTTCCTCAAAGAATTAACAATAATGGTTGAGCTTAATCTTGTACAGGTCTTATGAATTCTGTTGCAATTCCTGTGGGTTAATATCTCTGTTCTTCCTTTGTTGTATCCATAAAATATTGTTTCATTGATGTTATCAACTACCTCAGGCTCTAAATTCTGTTCAACCCATATTCTATGAATACACTTAAGCCTTAGTGGGAGAGGTGTGATATATCCATTCTAGTTCTGAGTGAGCATATCAAACTCATATCACCACACAATGAAGAGTTGAGAGTTCCTGTATTAACATCCAAGAAGCTTCTCTGATTAGGGCAGAGAGATACACTGATCTAAAGGTGTAGCAATAAGCCATCAAGAAATGTTTCAATTCTCTGCACATTAAGGAGAACATTAGTATTGGGTTTCCTACTAGGATCTATCTGCCCACAGACAATATAAATAGTGCCATTTATGAGTTCTAGCTCATGGACAGGGACTTCAGTCTAATAAGAAATTTGTTGGTTTCTCCCAATACAATTGTGTCACTCTTTAATCAATAGATGTATATCATCAAGCCAGTAGTTGCTGGGCCTGGCAGGGTTCACAGAATTATAGTATTGCTGACTTTTCTCTTCCAGTACTATATGATGCATGTTTTAAGAAAATGAAAACTGGGTTTTCCACATGATTTTTTCAGCCTCCTTTCTTATACTATCTGTGCACACGTACATGGCATACAAATCTTCAAAGCCAGTTTGATTTCTGCGTGTTCTGTGTGTCACCAAGTATTAGAGAATTACCAGCATTATTGGTAATAGCCTGTGTTGCTTGCGGGTAGGGTGGATTGTGCTTTGGGAGTTGATTGTCATGCAGCTAGAAAAAAACTTCTTTGAAATATGCATGTGAACATATTACATGATGCCCCAATAGTAACATGTTTCTGTACAGTTTTCAAAGGATGCTTTTCCATATTTCCTTGACTACTTTCCATCTCACATACACCGAAATTTAACACTTCACGTTACATTATCACCATTTAATCCTTTAGAACACTATATTCTGTCTCCAATTTTTCAACATGCCATGACTCTTACAAATTCCTGATGTTTGAAGTTGTTCATAAATAGGCATAGGTATAGATATAGTTGGATAGATAGATAGATAAATAGATAGATAGATAGATATCGTGTATGAGGCTAATAACCCATATGTCAATTGGTCAACATAAATTTCACATTTGAAATCATGGATGTGTGCTTGTTCTAGACAAACATAAGGTATCTGAGAAATAAATGACAAGACATTCTTTCTTTTCTGTCTCATTCACACACATCCCCCTTCTAAATGTTGGTATTTTCATTAGTAAACGTATTGTGAAATAATGCCTTGTTTCTCGTACATCTAAATATATGTGATTTGACTGTGCCTAAGACAATCTTGCTGCGTGTTTGAATATCAATAAACGTTTGGAACATACAATTCTAATATTTATAACCTGAGTTTCTAATTTTCATCCTTAAAAATCAAAACTAAGTCTCTAGTTTTCAATTATACCTAGAGAATAAATGAGTGTGGTTGAATCTATCTTTTCTTAAAAATTGCTCAATCCTTATCTTATTGTATGTCCAGGATTCCTTCATACAAAGCAGACTCACGGATACTAACAAAGGATATTAAGCTGCTGATAAGGACTCATGAGTTTATCAGAAAACAAGTCAGGATCTAACTGAAAACAACTGGCTATTGGAATAACCCCAGGACTCAGGTGGGGAAGACCAGCTCTAGTTAAAAATTTTGCCAGACTTTATGTGTCCTGGGACAAACATGGGAAAGTTGGAATGAAACAACTTCCTGAACAATTACAGAATCTGAATGACATGTTGCCGGTTTTCTGGAAGGACTTGGTGTCAGCAAGAGTGAAATAGTAAGGAGGAGAGTAATCCATAGAAATGTGCATAATGAGTCCCTTGTTCTACCCTTGAGTGCCAAAATTCACGTCTCACTACAAGATCAGTTTAGAACTTAGATTCTCCCCCCCCAAAAAAAACCCCTGAAAACCCTTTCCTCAGGGTTGTAATCAGTCTGCTCAGATACTCATTACCATCTATCAAAATACCAGACATTATCAGAAAGCATCAGAAAGTAAAAATATTTTCTCTGGGGATAAATGATTTTTCCTTCAGCAGAGGTATCCCCATGTCTCCAGGGAGAAAAATGCACTGACACCACAGATGACACAATAATAAACTCTCTGAAGGGTGTCATATACATGTACCATATTATTTTATGAGACTGGAAACCTGGACTCTTTTGGGTTACCTTCAGAGCATCGCATGGAGAATAAGAAACCACTCAGACTTTGCTTGCATTCTTTCTCTGGCAATAAGTGACACAGAGAAGTTCTTCAGTGGAACAGGTACTAAGATGTATACTAATGCAGGAGCTGTGGTCTGGAGCTGGCGTTTGGCCCATGACCATGTTCATCCTGACTGTGACTCAGAAGGTGATAGTCTTCCAATCACAGACTTCTGCTTAAAATTCTCTTCTTCCTTCTTCAGTATACATCGTCTTCTGAAGCCAAAATGAATTATTAAATCTGCAGTTTAACTCAAAAAGTTTGATATTTTGTTTCCATGTCTAACAAATGTCTGTTTCTTAGATTAGCACTCAGCAGAAAACAGCATTCAGTGTAACATCTATATGTGGGATGTTAATTTTATCTGGTGGATGGAGGCCCTGTGTTCCTTTAGAAAACATATGAACAAGTAAAATGCAGACTCAGCATCGGCTTACAAAGAGCATAACAGTGACTGTGTTAATAA